ATCTTCAATTTCATCTAATTGGTCTAATTTTTTTATTACTTGGAAATTCTAAAAATATAGTTTGCTGATTATAATTGTGTACACATATTCGCAAATCGTTTAAAGAAAATTATATGCTCACAAAATAAAAATTTACTGCATTATGTCAAGCTCAATTCGACATAGGATTGCAAAAAGATTCTCAAGCACAATCAACACAATTTTCGTATAAATAATTTCAAAAATATCCCGGTATTCGCAACAAAATTGATAGGGCATTCTTTTATCTTGTAAAATCTAATTACTAAGAGTTTTCTAAAGCGATATTGATCGCCGTCGGGCGATCAAAATATAAACTTACAATTAAAGAAAATTCAAATTACTAGGTCACAAAAAAGGCGTATACCCTTTACAATCCAAATTATTTCTTGCAAATGAGCGAAGATCAGATTTCATCTAATCGGTGGATCTAACATAAATCAAAGAATTTTCAATTATATACTTTGAGGAATTCACTTGGAGATCTTAAAAACGGTTTTAACGATTATAATCGCGTACACACATTCGCAAAATGTTTCAAGAAAACCATGTAATATAAGCTATTATCTCGCAATCCAACTCAGCATAGGATCGCAAAAGGTTAAATATTTTCAAACAATTTCGTAGAAAAGAACGTAAAAATCACAAACACGTTTCTCAGCTTTGTACCCCGAGCAAGTAACTTTGTGCACCGATATCCTTTTCTCACAGAAACGTGATCTTTTCAAAGTGCGAAATTTCAAAGAAGGAATTTCCATATATTCAAGATATTCAAGATCGTAGAATCATTTTCTTTACGTCCCTACAGATTTGCCGCGACTCGCCGAAAATTCGCCGATATTTTGAGAAAAGCGGCAGCCCGCCGTGAGCTTCGCGAGAGCGTCGTGTATCTCTTTGACGCGGTAATGATCGATTATCGGAAAATGTTTATTTTAGGAGAGCACCTGACAGAGAGAAGAGCAAAACTATCGAAATTTACATCTCGCACACGCGGAGACCTAGCCGGTAATACCTACACTAGGCACAACGAATGAAGTCGCGCGAGAGAAAAGCGATGTCGAAAGAGAAGTAAACTCAACTCACTGTTGAACACGAGCAGCTTCCGCGTGGAGCCAAGCCGCTTGATGGGTGACTTGACGCCGTCGATCTCCTCCTCGTCCATGATCGTCCGCGCCGGCCGACGGTGATGTGCGGACCTTGATTTCCTCCTCGGGAGCTCTCTTTCTCACGAGCAGATGCCGCTCACTCGTACACGCGCACGCACTCACACGCACTCGCACGCGGCGTTATACGCGACGTGACGCGACGCGACGCAACATACAACGCGCGCACGTTGCCGAGTGCCGTGCCGCCGCCGCCGGTTGCGTGTTCTATCTTGTCGCGCGCGAACGATAAACGGAGGCTGGGAACTGAAGGTGGACGCGAAACGCGCGCGCGCGCCCGCGAAAGACTCTCGCCGCGGTTCAGAGCATTCTCTCGTGGAGCACCAGCGGAACACGAGGCAGCCGGTGGCCGTGCCTCCACTGTGCCTGCCTGCGTGTCGAAACCGGTTTACGGCTTACGGCGGGCGGTCGATCTATCGGGAACTGTCGGTCGGTCGTTAAACAGCAAAGTAACGGATAGAGCAAAGCGCACCGCCGACGTGCGGCCGTTTTTGTACGCGGAACCGATTCTCCGTAACTCTCCGTGCACTCGCGTTTACTTGCCGCGGCCAACCTCCTCTCCGCTCGCGAGAGCAGCGCGAGCGATTGGCGAGAGAGAGAGAGAGAGAGAGAGAGAGCGGCGGAACGGAGCTGATCGGTGTGGCGAGTCCGATCCGAAGCCTGTTCGAGCTAGCCAGACACGACCGATCGAGACGTTACGCTCAATCCGACTGACTCGAGGTCGATCGCGAGTATCGCGACTGTGGCACGCGAGGCACGTTACTTGGACGGCTACTCGCCGCGTAGTGTCTGTCTGCCGGCTCGCCGCCTCGGCTTCGGCTCGGCTGTCCTCGAGGCGGTCGCGGCGCGGATATTCTTGGACGACGAACGTATATTAAATTCAACTTCAGGAGCCCTCCACCACCGCCGCCACCGCGCCGGTGCCGCCTGTACGCATCGTCGCGCTTTAGAAGCACGGAGTTCGGACGGAACGCCGAGTATCGCGTCTCACTGTCGGTTGCCCGGCAACCGTTAAATAATTGCCGCGCTTGTGCGACCGACAGAACTGCTAGCGCCATCCGTTGGCCAAGAGCGTAACCACGGCGTGCCTACGATCGCAAGGAATTCATAATGGAGCTAATTATAGCTCCCCACTTATACCGCTACGATCGCGAGAAATTTATTTGATGAAATTGCTGTATATTACCGACGAGATGTATAGGTATATTATCATGTTCAGATTTTCCATCAAAATTCCACTCGTAGGCACGCGTGACAATTTAAATTATCTTCGTGCTATAACTAAAAAAAGCATACGAGCTTTGATTCCTTCGCGGAATCTAATCATTTCCGCGTGCCGGTATCGAAATTTATATACTCATTATGGACTTATAACAGTTTCGAGCCACATACGTGTCCAACGTCGATTACGAGCATAAAAATCCGAAATAACCGATATATGCAGTTTTGATGATCGCTCGAAATTTTAATCGAAACTTTATAGACAAAAACTTATATTTATGTTATAATATACTTTTTAGTGCGTATAAAACTCATGCAATTAATCACAGAGCATATTTCGCACTCTATTAGCGTTTTCGATTTGTTGACTCGATCCGACTCCGAGTCGATAATCTGTTCTTTTTAGCTATAAAAAAAAAAGTTAAAGTGTACAAGAAACGCTAAAAATAACAGACTATTTTGACTCGGAGTCGGATCGAGTCAACAAATCGAAAACGCTATATATTTGTCCGTCCGATGTCCGATACGCCAAACTATTATAGTGCCTGGATGTGCGCACGCGCGGCACTACGATGTATATTAACATTGAGATAAAGATTTTGAAATCTAAACGATTAGAAATTGCAAAATGAGAATTGGACGTTTTCTGCGTTCTCTTTAACAAGTTATGACGATCAACAATGTCCTATTTGAATTTTCTTCATAAAAATTCAAATGCAAATTGACAAAATTTAAACTTGCAAAGAACGCGGAAATGGCGAAACTCGTCCTCAGTTAAATTACGAACTGATGCGTATTATCTGAAGATGATCATTACGAAAACGAATATAAAATCATGATTAATAATTAATTTACAAAATGGAATGATACTATGTATAAAACAGCACGAATCGCTACTTCTCGTTACTAAAAATTAAACTAAACAATTCCTGACATACCATATCATTAGGATTTTTAGATGGATTCATTTTAAGTGATCGAAAATGACAATTATTTTTATATATTTAAATTCTCTCATTTATTTGGGAACATTCTCAATTAATAAAAACAATGTTTTATAGTAATATTCACTAAATATTTATTTTTATAAAATATGTTTATTTAGTGTATATATATTTTTTTTTACTTTGTTGAGCTATTATTTGATTCTAATAATAATTTAAATTTAAATTGTACAGTCATGGACACATCGGTTGCGACACTTTCTTTTTTATAGGTTTCAAAACGCACTAATATTTTGTAAATGCGGACCACGATTGGTGTTATACTGT